ACAGTTATCCTGGCTTGGTTTGGTCCTGGTCCCGTAGCCCCTGTTAAGGGCTGAATCGTGTCCCCTCAAAACTAACATGTTAATGCCCGAACCCTCAGAATGTAACTGCACCGTGTTTGGAAACGGGGCCTTAAAGAGGTAATGAAGATTAAATGAGGTCACGTGAATAGGTCCTACCCAATGCCACCGGTGTCCTTACGAGAAGAGGAACTGTGACACACGGCGGCGGCAGGGACACGTGCACACGGAGGGAAGGCCACACCCAGGTACGGGGAGGAGAGGGCCCTACCTGTGAGCCCAAGGGAGAGGCCTCAGAGGGACCCAGCACTACGGATGCCTTGATCTTGGACTTCCAGCCTCCAGAACGGTGAGAAATTCAGCGTCCACTGCTGGAACCACCCGGTCTTGGGGGTCCTGCGCTGGCAGCCCAGCACACCACAGCAGTCCCCACACTCAGTCCTCTGGCTTCTGTCCCCCGACAGCACGCTCCCCAGGCCTCGGCACCATTTTCAAGAGGGCAATGGTGGCTGAAGTGAGGCAGGAAACCATATCATCGAGGAACACAGGTCCTAGCACAGAGGTAAGTTTCGGGTGTTCTCTCCTACACTCGTGTGAGGTTGGTGCAGCCACGTGAGGAGTTATCAAAATACAGAAGAGGGATCATACTTTTCCAGGGTGGGCCCGGAGGACAGACCCAGAGCCAGCTGCAGGAAGTGGTAAGGAGACGGACTTCTAACACAACATAAACACAGTTTCCTAATGGCTCCCGTGTTCAGAAACAGAATGACCAGCCACGTGGGGTCCAATGCCCACAATTCTGGAGAGGGGAGCAGAACACGGAGCACGCCCGCTGCCCCCACAGGCCGCAGCTCTGATCTGTGCCCCTCTCCTCGAAGCCCTGGAGTCAGGGCGCAGCCTCTTTCTGGAACCCGGACCGGAGCTGTGAGCTGCAACCACACGCCTCCTCCCTCCCACTCCCCGCTCTCTGTCTGGCAGTGGCGCCCACTCTCTATTCCAACAGCACCTCTGCCCGCAGATCTGAGACACACTGCCCTCCTCCCAGCTTCTGGCTCCTGTAATGTCTATGGTCTGAGGTACTCAGGCTGTCTCATGGAATGCCCTGCCTTGCACCTAACCCTTTGGACCCATCCTCTGCCCCAGCCTTGCAAGAGGATTCAGACGCAGCTGGAAAGAAACGCCACTCCCGGACCGGGAGCCCAGCCGCATCCCGGAGCCCAGCCGCATCCCGGAGCCCAGCCCCACCGAGCTAGGTCATCTCAGGCAAGTTACCTAACCTCCCAGAAGCGTAGTTTACCCGTCCGCTTCATTTATAACAGCAAAAATTTGAAAAACCCATGTTTAACAGTACAGGCCATTAAATATTAAGGTATATGCTCATGAGGGAATAGTAAATATGCAGAAGTAACGTCAAAGAGCAATATTTAGTGACATGGAGAAACGCTCATGAAATATTAAGAGAAATAAAATTGCAAAGCACTGCTCCTTATAAACAATTTTTTCTAGAAAAGAACACGAGTGCACAAAAAAAGACTTCATACAATCACAAAGCTAAGAGTAATTATTTTCTAATTAATCTTTCTCTATACTTCCCAAGATGTCAACGGTGTTAATGCTTTTTAACTAGAAATAGTTATTTTCAAAATCTTTAACACTCCCATGTTGGCTTGTCCCTCCTCAAAGAAAAAGATCAGAACCAACCCACTGACTGAGCAGCCTACCAAAAGGGCACAGTGGGCCCGTGACATCAGCTGCCCGTTCTCGCCTGTAATTCCGTATGCCATGTTTTGAACTTGGAGGAACAGAGCGGCCAAGAAAACTGGGCTAAGGGAAGGTCACCAAATGGACTGGTGGCATGAGGAGACTCCCAAAGGGTCAATTCTTGGACCCACTCATCAAACAGCTTCTACTGCCACTCTGCCCAATGGTCCCTCTAGGAAGAATGTCTGTCACGTGTCACCCACGGGCCACTGTCTAGCCGTACCGTGAGGCTTGGCTCCACCACTGTGCTGTAGCAGAAAGTGTGCCAGCAGAGCCATGTCCCCACTCACTGGGTTTTGTCCCCTGGTAATGAGCTCCCTTGGCTCCCTCCCCACGCTGGGAAGCAGCAGCCACATAGCGGTGCCAGCCAGAGAAGCCCCTTTGAATGGCCCATCAAGGAATCTAGGAGTTGGCAGTGGCTTGGCCACAGAGGCCAAAGCAAATAGTCATTTCAGTGGAAAACATCAGCTCGACTCAATTCGTGTCACTTCCCCCGAGTCGGAGCGGGGTCAATGACAGGGCCACAGACGTGCAGCGGGCACCCACCCAGCGACCACCGTGCAAGCGGCTCGGGGGCAGGTCTCGTCACCAGTGACTAGCAGCCCAGGCTCTGCACGGCTTTCAGCCCCTTCCCTGCTGCCTTCCCCCGCAAAGGACCCGCCAGGAACGAGCTGTGTTTGACGCACGCCACATTTCTAATCCTCTCAGTCTCCAATCCGCACTCCAAATTTTTGGCGTATGACCAATTGGCTGGTCACGGGCCTCTCTATCTTAACCAGCTTTTCAGGAGCTGGAACCTGGAGGCACACTGCTATTCCACCCAATGGGTACACGTTTACATCTACACTCCCAGCACCAGTCCTTTCAGACTTTCCTCCTCTCTGCAGGGAGTTAAGAGGCCATAATTCACATTGATTCTGTTCGCTGGGCTCCCCCGAATACTTCCCAAAGCAAATTTAGTGGCTTCAGAAGTAGCTCCCTTTTACAGCAGATGAATGCTAAAATAGTCTCATGATCACTAACGCTTTTTTACGACCTGTACAATGAATGAATGAACCAGTTACGTTCTGCATACACTATGGCCTTCTTAAATTGCTCCTGGAGAATCCAAACCATGCACGGAATAAAAGGCCACCTAGTGAGGCCAGGCTGTGCAGTATGCTTGCTCTCTGCTGGCCCCTGAAAACACGGGCCCATGAAACCATCTAGGACGCACTCGGAGTGCCCATCTTCCTGGCTCTGTGCTGTCATGATTTGGAATTTGGCCAGATGGACCAGAGCTACCAAGATGTCCATGCTCCTTGCGAATAGCAGATGTTCTCTGACTGCTTAACCACCACAGAAGAAAAGGGTGTCCGAGGAGATACTTGGCTGAAACGTTCTTTGTAACAAAGACCCACTGCAAATCCCACAGATAAGAGCTCAGGACTGGAGAGGGCCCCTCTGCCCACGCCTCCACCTCCCACGCCAGAAACCAAAATGCCTCCTCATCCTCAAGCGTTGCACACACAAGCCAGGCCCCAGCCAGTGCAGGGAAATACCGCAGCCCACCTCGTCAGGGAAGACTTCCAGAAGCTGGTTCTGAGTCTGCCGCTCTGGGCGGGAAGCCCCAAGCAGAGGTGATTTAGCATTGCTATTGCTTGAGGAGAGATTCTGGGGAGACATTTTTCTACTTAATTCTATCATCGGAGACAAGAACTCAGCTTTTTACTCTCCAATTCCTTCTCTGTGCTCTGATTTATCTGCCGGCTGTTATCACTGCCAGAAAACATCTCTCCCAGATCCTAGGGTGACATTCATCAAGTCAGAGGCCAACTGTCTGGCTGGACTTCAGGAGACTATTTTGGATCCACACTGTGGCCCATGTCCTACTCTGCAACAGAGTCACATGGGTGGCTGTCACTCAAGCTTCAAAAGTAACAAAATGTAAATGATTTCCTTAGCCCTCCTCCCCCGCCACCACCCCGCTCCTGCTGTGCCCAGCTGCAGGCACAGTGTGGAAGCCCCTAACCACATGGGAGCAGGACTCGCCGTCTCGGGCCTGAGCAGTCTTCTCTTCTACTGTGGGTTCCATGGTCGGGTCATGACCAGGCTCACAGGTACCACCCTTCTGACCAGGGGCCTGTCCCCAGAGGGCAGAAACATACATCGGCAACATATTTGTTCAGCACAAGCATCTACTCCATCGCTGGGACGGGAGGGCACACAGGAAAACCAGGATTCAGGTGCGCGGTACCTCCAGGCCCTCCAGGCCCACAGAGCTCGGCCGAGCAGCGTATGCTGACAGCCTGGCAGATGGGAAGCTTTGCGTCAAATCCTGCTCAAATGCCGCGGTAACCGAAAGCTCCATGTTATAATGAACTTCGCATCTCAAAGCACCCAGCTTCCGCTGGGAACGGGAGTATTTTCAAAGCTTAGCGCTCGGTGACTGGGGATGTGTCATATAATCCAACAGCTTGTGGAAAGCAAAATTACACTTGGTAAACAAAGGGTGGAGATACCGGCCCGCCAGCCCTCACCATACAATCGCCCGTGCAGCAGGGCCCAGAAGCAGGGACTGGCAACCAAGGACTCCGTGCCACCGTGCAAACATCAGATGCCCCCATTCGCTGTGGGAACAATTTGCCGCTTAGATAGACATTTCTTAACCCCTATCTGCAAATGACTTCGGTCCTCCCAGCAGAAAGTACCAGGAACCCATACAATGTAAAATAATTTTAAAAACTCAAGACGTACCTTATTTCTTCCAAAATATCCAGTTCTAGCACATACCTCCATTACAGAAAAAAAACATTACTCGGAGTCATCAACTTTGAAAGATAGCAATGCCAACGTGCAGACCCCCACGTCCACGCACACAGAGGAGGGCAGATAAATGAGCATAAAACTCCTCCTGACCATGTCCTTCCCTCTTGAGGTCTGCTGATGCTCTAGCACAACAGAGCTCAAATTCTGCACAGTGAAATCACCTGGGGAGCTTTTTAAACATGCTTTATGGCCAGGTTGCACTCCAGACCAACTACACCAGATTTTCTTGGGGTGTAACTCAAGACATCAGCTTTTCAAAACCCCTCAGTTTTGAAGCAAAGTTTGAGAACCAGTGCTCTGGCAAAACACTAAGTTCCCGGGCTCACCTCTCCCTCCTTCGTCAACACACCCCGGTTACTAACACGGTGCAGACCCAAAGAGAACCACGCCCCCAGCTTCGGGGCCACCCCTACCTATATAGAGCGAGGAGTCCTTCCTCCGCACGTGGTCGTCGATATAGGAGACGCCCAGGGGCTGCACAGGGGTAGCACCGATGCCCAGGAGCACCTGGGCCCCAATCAGCAGCAGGTACATCATGTTGGTGGCAGTCCGGCTGCGGCAGATGAGGTCAGGGTCAGGACCCTGGTCGCCACCCGAGCCATTGGCGGCACAGACATCACGGCCCTCGGCGGCCCAGCGGATCTCGCCAGCCTCGTACTTGTACTGGTGGGTCAGGAACTCGGGCAAGGCGGACAGCAGTGCTCCCAGCGCCATGACGATGCCCCCACAGCCAATGAGGCGCGGCCGGTGCCCACGGGCCCCGAAGTAGCTCACGAAGAGGATGAGCGCCAGGTTCCCGATCTCGAAGCTGCTGGCAATCACGCCCACATCGGTGCTCTGCAGGTTGAACCTCCGCTCCAGGGTGGTCAGCACACTCACCTGCAGGTGCAAAACAGTATCTCAATGTCAGTCCCTGTGGACACCACGGAGGAAACCCCCTTCGGGCCTCCTGGCGCACCTAGCCCTCTCGCCCCTCCCACCTGGAGGTTTGTGCTACCTGTGCAGGGTGATGTAAATCTGAAAAATCAAAACAATGTTTACTTAGTATGGGAGGCCTAGTTACACAGTTAGAGAACTAACTTTCTCACTGGCAAAGAGGGTTTTCTTGGCCCCTTGCCGTCGTGAAAGTGGCAAGCACTCAGGAAGCACCATTTCCCCTCCCCCACAGCCATGTGGAGCCTGTGCATCCTGCAGGAGCACAGAAGTCCAGAAGTCGGCAGTTTCTACCTGCTCCCCACTACAGCTTATGTATTTGTGAAGCCTGCTCTGGGAGGGCAGGACCCAGGAAGCAGGGGCTTCTCCCCAGGAGGTCAGCATAACTGAAGAAAATAAATACAATAAAACAAAGCAAAAACCTGGATGGCAAAATGGACAAGCCAGATGTGAGCTCATTAATCATTAGCTCTTTGCTTTCTTCTGGAGAGTTCCAAACAATGTAGAGACGGTCCCCAAAGGCTGCCAGGTAAATGCATTCCTTATTGCTCTATGCCCCACCTAGGCCCCCGGATGGGATATTTTTATGACTTTCCCCACCTTTGTATTTTTGTCTGCCTTACATCTGCTTGCTTAACAAATATTTACTGAATATCTGCTATTGGTCTGAAAATGCCCTAGACACAAAAGACAAAGAACAAGGAAGACATGACACCTGGACTCGAGATGCCACCGAGCGGAAAGGTGCGCATGAACCCAACTGGAAACCGAGCAACTGGGTGTCAGAGTGAGGATGCAGACACCGCACTGGGGGCAGGGCCAAGAGGAGATGCTTCACTTTCGGGCTTCCTGAATGAAGAGAAAACGTGAACGGCCCTTCTCTCTCGCTGTCTGCAGGTTCTCACAGGTTCATGAGCAAGACGCAGCTCCTGTCACGGGAGGCCTCCCAGCCCCAGCTGGGTGGTGAAGACCTCTCCCCCCAAGGGGGCGGTGTGAGCAGTGTCAGCTGGCCCGACTTAATACCGGGAGGGAAAGTACTAGGAAGGTGCACTGGGGACAAAGCCTAAGGAGCCACAGGTGCCGCCCTGAAGAAATCAGGCCATCCCACGCAGATCACGGCCGGAGGAACACCTGGTCTGAATCCCACCCAGTAGTTCCTTTATCGGCTCTGGGACTTTGGTCAAGTTACTTAACCTGTTTACGCCATGAGTCCTATGAAGTGAGAGTAACACCTGCCTACCAGGATGGACGTGAAGATTAGAACTAAGGTGTGCACAGTCCCTCCGCACGGAGCAGCCTCTCTCCCCCTGGCAGGAGAGCCTGCGGAGGAGCAGCCAAGCAGAGGGGCGCGGGGCCAGGGCTCTGGGACCAGAAAGCCTAGGCCCACCCTGACTCTGCGACCTTGGACAAGACACCCCGTGCTTTCACCTTCCCATCTGTGAAATGGGGATAAGAATGCTACCTCTTAGGGCCGGTGTCAGGAGTCAAGAACATGTATGTGTAAGTGCCAGGTGAGGGCTAGCTGTAACCCTTATTTATCTGAGGTCATCAGGGAGCTTCAAAGGTTTTTCAAGCACAGGAGTGATACCAGGTACAACTCCCGTGGATAATGGAGGGTGGAAGAGTGAAGGAATGCCAGCAGAGAAAAAGGCTGGGCTGTAATTAAGAGAAGAAAAGACCTGAGTCAATACAGTGCGATGGAAATGAACAAAACAGTTTGAGCATGGCAGAGGCAAAATTGTATCTTTGGGGAGACTGGCTCTGTCAGCTCGTCGAGGCGGTGCTAAGGAAGGGGAGGAGGGGGAGTCCCATGGATCTAGCCTTCCTCCAGGTGTATAAACGCGTGCACTGTTGTCAACGCCCACGCACCCACAACCTCCCCAGTGCTCAGGCACACATGCCTGCGTGCATACACAATATACACGTGTGATGTTCTACGTGCCTTTAATATAAAAACAAACAGCAGCCCAAATGATTCTTAGCCTTACTCCCTATTCCACACATTTATTTAAACAGACTCCTTTAGCCCTGAGGCTCCCCTTGCACTTGGAAAGCACTGAAAATTTCAGATGCCTGGGCCCTCCCAGTTTCTGACCAATTAGTCTGGAAAAGCCCGGGCCCTGCGATTTCCTTGAAGACCTGCAGGTGGTTCTGCTGGCTGCGCGACGCCAACACCAGAACACACGTACTGTGGGGAGCCCTTCAGCACTGGCGCCGGAGGAGCTGGGCAGAGCGCTGTTCCAACACTGGCACAGGCCCCCCTCCGTGACCTACGAGGGGACGTCTGTACACCCCTCCAGCACCCGCACTCCGATTCTGATTCCCGTTCCCATTCTAACCCAGTCAAGGCCAGCTCACAACTCAGTCAGCCCCGCTTACATGGCCAGGTCACTATTTTCAAACACCAAGTATCTGCAATTGTCCAGAAAAGAAACTCATTAAAATGGCTTTCGAATACTCCCCCAAATGTTCTGAAAGGTCCGGGCGAGTGAAAACTCAGGCTTTATTTACACGCCCCTCTCCTTCGTAACACAAACGAGCCTGATGGCACGCGTGTCCCACCAGAGGCTACGTCAGGCAATGCAGTGCTGGGGGGAACCCCAAAGAAGGCAGCCTGACTGCCTGGGAGATGGGGGCCTCGCGGTTGCACCCAGGCCTTTGTGGCGAGTGTTGAGAGATGCCCGGAAAAGACCGGATGCAGAAACAGATAGGGACCCGTCGCGGCAGGGTCCCCTGGGTGCACTCGAGTCGCTTCGAGCAGTCCGGTGGGTCTGCAGCCTGGGGACCGCCACCACGAGCGAAGGGCAGTGCAAGTGGCAGGAAGGGTGGGCGGGTGGCGGAGGTCAGAGCAGCAGCCCTGCTCCATGCCTGCCACGAGGCTTACCGACATCCGCACTTGGCAGCGCATCGGGAACGTGACACCTGCCCCGTTTGAACAGGTGTGCCCTGTCATAAACTATCACGCAGGTATGGAGATTTACGATGACAGAGAAGGTGGATGGGATAGAGACCGTTGTCGGCAAAGGAAAAATAATCGGCGCTGTCAGAGGGAGCTGCTGATGCCCGCGCCTGCGGCTCCTGTCCTGCCTCAAACCTGCCCCCGGCAGGGCGACCCGCAGGGGCGGCAGGACGAAGCAGGGTCTTCACCTCCTCGACTCGGCCTCAGGGACACCCACCCGCAGCATGCTTTGTGGATCGATGGGATCACAGGCCAATGTCTTCGGTCACTTACAGCACGACTTCGAGAAGATGAACTAATTAAGCATGCATGGGCCACGAAACCCACTTGTGGCTTTCATGGGGCAGCGAACAACCCAGGCATGGGGAACGTGCGTGCTAAAGGGAGTGGCTGTCTTCACACAGTGCACAGCAGAACTGATGGAAAGCATCTTGACTGGAGACGGAGGAGACAGAACTCCAGGAGGAACACAGAAGAGGAAGCGTCCTCGCCTTGTGCCAAGGGAGTATGAAGTTATCATTAAAAGCATGCAGTATTTACCAGGTCCCTACTACCAGAATTCAAGAAAACACGAGCCTGCATTTCAAAATCTCCTGGAGCACCTGGTTAAAAAAATAGCTACCGATTCCCAAACCCTGCGATGAGGTCCAGGAGTCTGAGGTTTTAGAAAGCTCTTGGGTCTCTGATGCCCACCCGGGGCTGAGTACCGCACCACTGGCATTGCAGGGGTCCAAGATGTACTCACCACCCACCTAGAGCTGTGGTTCCCATCCGTTGGTGGCAGCAACGTCACCCGGAGGCCATCAGCCTGCTGGGCTCCAAGCTCAGAGCGTGTGACTCGGCGGGGCTGCAATGGGGCTGAGAACGCACGGGTCTACCAAGCTCGCAGGTGGGGCTGATCAGGGGGCCGGCGCTTTGAGAATGCTTCTCCCCTGGACTCCCCCACTACAGCAAACCCACCCTGCTCAGGATGAAAGAGCTTGTTTTTTAAAGCCAGATACAAGTCGCAAGCACCCCCTCATTTCCAGGCCACAGAGAAACACTCTCCTGTCTGGGAAAGGAGGGCTGCACTTTGGCAAGGCTCGCCTCTTCTGGGCTGAAGTACAGGCGGGCCAGCTGCAGAGACCATCAGCTCCTGCTGCCGCCCATGGCTCACGACAGGAGGCATCGGAGACCTTATTGGCCAGGTACAAATGAGCTCTGCTCACCTTCCCAAGGGTCCGGGTTATCAGGAATGCAGGAAGAAGCCAGGTTCTCCAGCGCAGTACCCAAAGCTTAACTGCTCCCATGAGCCCTCCTGCTTTCTTAGTCTGCCTTGCGCAGTGGGGCCTGCACCTGAACCGGAATCACCTGCGCTTGCCCACTCGCCACCCCACCCCACCCCACCCGGACGCTGACGCAATTAACCTGTGGGAGCTGGGCCCAAGCACGAGACGTTTCAAAGCTCCCCAGCTGACTCCAATGTGCAGTCAGGTCGGGGTGTGTGCGCGCAGACACCTGTGTGACCACACAGCGCTGTGAGAGGACGTCTCAGATGAAACGGCCTTAAAGGCATGCCGAGGGTCTGCCCTTGGTGCGAAGTCACTGGGGAGCCATGGGAGGTTCCCGAGCAGGAGCCGTCCACCAGCAACGCTATCCTGGCATTGCTGCCAAGTGCGGAGGGAGAAGAAGCTGCCCCGTTTCAACAGCGCTGGTGAGAAATGAGGCTTCAGCAGCGTGACGCTGGCGGAATGAACGTCCAAGAAGAGCGTCTGCATGGAGATGCCTTTACTGCTGCCCTGTGGGGCACGAGGACAGGCCCCAGCAGGCTGTCCCCGGGACCCAGAGGAAGCTGCAGCCTCAAACCACATGCCCCGCAGCACGGCCCGTGCCAGCCAGCAGGTGTGGAAGCAGCCCAGGGCGGGTAGACCCCAGGGAAGACTGAAGTCACACAAAGGACCCTGGGGTGGGGGGTGCTCTTTTTTTCTGTAAAGGGCCAGAGAGTTGA